AGGATTATACGTACCAGAAAGTAAAAGGTTTGGGTGTTGGTTATCATCGCAGTTTAGGTGGAAAGAATTTATTTTCCCTTCAAAATCAGTGAAAATGGATATTTTTCCTGCTACAGCAGAGGTCATATGAAAGAACCGTCAGGGTGCCGGTGTTTTCGAATAAAGCCCATTGGTAAGTATGTCGGGTTCGAATGCAGGGCCGCTGGATTCGAACCCGAGACCTTTACCTTATGATGAGCGCCTATAAACCGTTGCTCCTATGAAATTGGATATTCTTTCATTAATCTAAAGAAAGTATGGGAAAAGAAAAACAAACAATGCGAAACAGTTGTTTTTCTCTCAAAATAAAACTAATTTCATAGAGAAGAATCGACAATTCCATACTCTACTAAGAAGTTGTATGCATAAATTTTGATTAAATTATTATGTGAACCAGAGTAAAAAGATCAAATTTAAGAACAATGATATTTAAAAAATGCCACTGAAAAAGTTTGAATATCATTTACATGAATGATGACATCAATCAGAAGATAAATATTAGATAAGGCTTCTGGGAGTAATTTTATATTTGTGAGATTGTCTGAGATTTTCTCTTGAGGACTGCGGTTAAGAAAGACCCGCAGTGAGAATGGACAGAACAAGCTGATTAAATATGTATCTCTTTCAATTTCTTTCAACAATAATTGTATGGTTAAATGTTTTTCCAAAGTAATAAACCTGGGTTGAACGATCTACAAGATATAACTTCAGCTTTATTCTGTGTTTATTGGCTTAAATAGGAATTATGTCTGCAAGGGAATCATCCTGGTCCACGTAGTCCAGCTTTTAGGAGACTTCGGACATCAACGTTCTTCAGATACATTTATCGATAACTATCTTAACAACAAATAAAAACAGAAAACCAAAAATGAAGATGGCAGAATGCCGAAACGTTCGTAAAGCCGTGAGGTTCAGAAAAAAATTATAATGCATGGAATTCCAATAAATTTTAGAAACGTTCATCACTGAATTTGTTAAAAAAAAAAAAAAAAAACATTTCAAGTTTTTTGAAGAGTTAACAAGATGGGTGAAAATATAGTTTCAATTACCACTGAACATCCGATTTTTTTTCCAGGGATGGGGCAAGTTTTACATTGTACAAGTCGACATGGAAGTGGGACTAGACAACGTGTCTGAAATGTAATAAAGAGTGTAGTCAATAAAAATGGACTTGTGTATGAGGCGACGGGGCCAGTCGTTGGGTACGTGACTCCCGCCACCACAATCTTACTGAGAAGGATAGCTGTCACTCGCAGGTCAATATAAACTTACCACCTTATCTTATAAAAGTCAACTTGGAATAGACACTCATTTAATCTTTGTACATATTTAAAATTACATGGAGAAAAAAATTTCCTTCGTTACTACGTCAATGTAAATATTTTAGTTTTTTTTTTTTTTTAATTTTATTTTCAAAGGATCAAAATGGGTAAGAAGTGGTATGAGTTACCCATGCGTGTGGTGCATTTCTCAGATGCCGCTTTTTCGAATAATTAATTTTTCATTCCCCTTCTGTTACCAACACGATAGATTTATCTTTTAATTCATCGCAACGACGGTTGATTCGGCCCGAAATCGAAAAACGTCGAAATGGAGGCTAAAAGATAAGCGAAATTTTATAAATTGGCCCAAACGACGCCATACTTGGGCAGAGGAGGATGTTTTAACTACAAAACAATTGAGATTTGGCCAATATGCTAGACCATAAGGGAAAAAAACAAAAAAACTACAAAACCATCTCTCTCTCTCTCTCTCCCTCCCACTCCCCTTATTTATCTCACTCATTCTCTCTCGTTCACTCACTCATTCTCTCTCACTTGTTCACTATCTATCTCACTCACTCCCTTTCTCTTTTTCACTATCTATCTCACCCATTCTCTGTCACTCACTCTCTTTCTCTTGTTCACTATTTCTCTCACTCATTCTATCTTTCTTTCACTCTCTCTCCCTTTCTCATTTATTTACTATCTCTCACTTGTTTAATATTTTTCTCACTCATTATCTCTCTCTCTCTTTCTTTCTTTCTTTCACTCACTCTATCATTCACTTACTCACTTTCTCTCATTTATTCACTATTTCTCACTCGCTCATTCTCTCTCTCTTTTTCTCTCTCAATTATCCACTATCTCACACTTGTTCATTAACTCTCTCAGTGAGAGAGAGTGTGAGTGTGAGAGTGAGAGTGAGAGAGAGAGAGAGAGAGAGAGAGCAAAAGCAAATAAAAATAAAATCCCATGTTCTGAAAAAGTTCAGCCATTTATATATTTTAACGCTGAATGTGGATTGAACAAATCCGTGAAAGGCATTCGCCGAGGCTGTGGAATTTATATTGGCCGAGCAAAGTGTTGATAGTGAGGGGGTTGTTTGAAAAAGAAATCAGTACAAATTCCAACCGAGAACAGAATGTAAGCACCCAGTCACGTACCGACATTTACTGTAAGTATTAACATAAAAAGAAAATATTCCAAGATTAGACAGACAATAGTTATACATAAACATTCAAATATTCTCACAACGTGTTCGGCATTAGAACAAAATGTTTATACATCACTTATTCTAAACTGAATCAAATTACAAGCCATAACGATAGTACTATGCTATTCTAATAACATCAAGAGCTTGAAAATAATCGATTCAATTTGGACGAATCCTATGATAATAATTTCTGCGAGAAAATCACTTCTTTGTCTTGGAATACAAAACAAGTTCGCACTCACTTAAGAAGATTAAGAAGACTTGTACATTACGCACTTCAAACCTAAGGTAAAATGCAATTATGAATATGTAACTTAATTCATTATTGAAGGCGTTTGTAAAAAAATACTAGGTTATCCAGACTGAAACAATATGATAAAAATAAATCCTCATTTAGTACTGAATTAAGTTTATTTAAAATCCTGTGAAAGTGCAAAATTTCTCTCCAAAGAGCATAGTTAATTTAACATTGATTCTTGGCGTTATTTTATTTTTAGCACGGATATTTTTGTTTATTAATGGCAAAAAATACTGCTTTCATGTAAAGTGGGGGGGAATTCGAAGATGTACGATTTTTATTCGTTACAAATTTATATTCGACTTTTAAAGGTTGTATTAATCATACATATGTAATTAAGTAACATACGGTTTTTAATGATTTTTGAGCACACTACTATGAAACGGTAATACGAAAATATTTTGTCGGTATTCTCCCTGTGGATCATGAATTATTTACTGATGGCCGAGCCATTACGACCGACCAGTACAAGACTAATCTTTAAGGGTAGGGACTTCTCATCCACAAATAATGAGAAAGATGCGGTGAGAAATGGAAGACCGAGGAATGAAGAGGGAAGTGGTTGTCGTGCGTGTCTTGAATGCCAGAACGATAGCCCCGCAGCTATATTGGCAATATGGTCTGCATAATATACCCCTTAGCACCCGGACTATCTCCTATTACCTTTGATAAGGCCCCGATTTGGCCGCGGCAAAAACTCGAAAAAATGAGAAAGAGAAAAAAAAGACAAAATTTTGTATTTTGCGTCTTACAACACTAGGAAAAAATTCTACGCAAATAAAAATTGCAATCCATACAGTAGAACAGTTTGAAGGGATATTTCATGAACTGTACACGCAAGTATGAATGATAGAATATGAATACAAATAGTGTTACTTATTTCAATTAATTAATCTTTTTATGTAAGGTTTCTGCTGAAAAGAAAAAGTTAGGGTCACAAGCGGGATTCGAACCAACGACCTTCGGCTAAGTACGCCGCTGCTCTAACCACTTGAGATATCGAGACTTCGACCCACCCCACACCAATTCCCCATCTCAACCTACATTCTTTCGAATTTTCCCTTTTTGCCATTTTTTTTCAACTGACACTAACTTTTTAATTTCGACCAAAACCTTGTCTAAAAAGAAATTAATTAATTAATGATTTAATAATGTTACTTATGTTTAGAGACTGGATTTTTATGAAGTCCCATATTTTGCTTGCCACCACATACGACTGAGGAAATCAATTATCTATCCGAATCATGTATTTAGGAAGCCGTAGGTTAAATTTTATAGAGCCTATTTTTGCATATTTGAAGAATTTTTACCTAAAATTGCATTTATCGCCCAAAATATTTAAAATATTATATTGGTTTTCGGTGGGGGGGGGTTATAAAAAAAATCTGTAAAAAAAAAAATTGACGAAAAGTGAAACTGAAACAGGCCGAAGAGATTCTATCAATACCGACAAAAGAATATAAAACCCCTTCTTAGTTCTTACATTCAATATTCTCGCAAATTTTAAGTGAATTTAGAAGTACTTGTTTATTAACATTAATTGTACTCAATTAGAAAAATATACGTTTTTATTATGTAAAGTGAGAAATTATTCTTATTAAATGTAAATAAACTCTAGGGGGCGTCGGTGGCCGCAACAAGGTCCTGTCGGTTTAGGCGTTGACACGGAGCTCATCATTGTAAAGTAAAGGTCTCGGGTTCGAATCCAGCGGCCCTGCATTCGAATCTGACATACTTACAAATGGGCTTTTTTTTCCAAAAATACCGTCACCCAGAGGGTTCAAATAACCTCGTAGTCGGGGGGGGGGCTCTAAATACTTGTGAATTTTAATTATTTTTAGTTTTAAAGTTTTAATATCTAGTTACTATAAAATAAAATAAAAACTTGTTTTCTGCATATCATTGCATATTTCAGGGCTTTCAAAATGCATATTTTATGGCATATTTTTACTGTAAGAAAATCCGGTCTCTATTTATGTTAAACAATGAAACCGTATCTAGAAATGGATTTAATTAAATAAAACCGTTTATCAACTTATTTTTTTAGAGCTTGGAAACTAAAATATAAATGTTCATACAAGGAAGAACGGACGTAACAACGGACAAAACAAAATGGAACATTTATGATACACGGTAATGTACAGGATTGATACAGGAAAATAGGAAATTGTTAAAATTCATCTGTTACCTCGTTGATATGCTTGTAGGTCTTGATTAGGTCGACAGATAGCTTTCGAAGAGGGGCAGAGGCCGCATCCCTGAAATGGGTTGGGATCCTGGCTTGCATTTCCTCGATGTTCGGCCCGCTGGTGTCGAGCTGTTCGAGAGCGACCAACCGGCCGTACAGAGGCCCCATATCACTCCCACCTGAAAATTACAATACAACAATTAGGTAATTTCATTGATTTAATTACTATTTTATTGAATTAAATCGATATTGTTTTCCAGTATAGAATTATATAGTAAGTAAGTGAGGACTGCAAGTACAAAATCCATCCTAAAGGATGACTACTAGTTACAAATCTCATGTTCAATGTTTACCTAACGTCTCTATCATAGGTGTCTTTGAGACGTTTTTCATCACCATCTTACGTGATAGGTTACTGTTTATATTTATGAATTGATAAAACTATCTGAATAACAATGTTTTCCGAAAAACTATAATGTTTTCCTAATTTATTAAGTTAATATTATTTCTTACGATCTGTAACATTATTTACAACATGCAATGAGTTAAATTTACAAATGACATGAATCATGTGTCTTGACAGGAGTTAACAACCATTGTTGTTCTCCCAACTACGCAAGAACTCCTCGTTTGATAGTCGTCTGGTGGGATTATAGGGGTGGTTTCTATTGGATAAAGATGAGCATCTCGATTGGGCTGAGAGAAGTTTATTATGGAAATATTTTGGGAATTATATTTTGCATGAAAGGGATTGTGAGGTCATTGTGAAGGGACGAATAAGGAGCATTGACTATGACTCGGAGTACATAGGATTGGAAGGACTGTATTTTTTGGATATTGGAAAGAAGAAACCACAGTTCCAGTCCGCCTAGATTAGTTTTAAGTATTGTCTTGTAAATTGTTTTAATTATAGGAAAGAAACTGCAAGTTCATCATACGAAGACGTCAAAAAATCTCCTAATCATTACAATACGGGTCATTTACCCCTGAGGGCTGCGGGTCGAATGTGTAGTTTGGCAAGGGATATAAGCTGTGAGAGCGATGAATACGTACACACCTCTGATGAGGATCAAAAACGATAAAACTACAATTTTATGCCATCCGCAGACCTCAAGAAGTAATCTCACAGAATTACCCATAGTAACCTTGAATGATTAATGAAGTCTAACTTGTGAGAGTCCCTTTGAATTCTGCAGGATAAACCGGATTATTCAACCGATACATTTGAATTAAAAAAAAAATAAATAAATAAATAAATAAATAAATTTAGGAAAAAGGACATCCCGTAACTTTCCTATATGACAATTCTATGAAACAACGGTCTGCAGAGCACTCAGGGATCAAGAGCATTGACAACAGTTGGCCCTCGGAGGATGTGAATCGTAGAAGAAGGGTCCTCCTCTCCCGATTAGAGATAGGCCATACGAGGTTGACACATACACTCTTGTGGGCCAAAATATATTGATAAATGAATTATTTTATAATGTTTGATGTCTTGTGTTAAACTCAGTTTCAATAACACGAGTCTTTCATAAAAGAGTTGGACTACAAATAAAAATTCTTTCACACTATAGGCTGTATTATAAAAAATAAACTATAAACTATCATTTTTTAACTGCGAAAAAATCAACTAAGTTAAAATAATAATAAACGCATTTATAAAATACATTGGGCCAAAGCCTGCGTTAGTATCTGACATGTAGAGAAAAGTTGCTGATGTGTCCCACTTAATTGAAGGGTGCAACCGCATGGGTCTATAAAGAGAGCGTGTTGGACTGAGAATTGTGCTTGAGCATCTATCTGGGTCCGCTGTTCCAACTTTTGTAGAAGAGTTGTTTTATTGTATAAAATAACGTTAGTCCTTGCTTGTGTCCCTGGCGTGTGTTGAGAGTGAATGTATTTACATTGTTTGAATGTGTAGCGTAAGAAGGTAGATGGTAATAATGTATTTATTGCCATGAATGTGTGGTAAATATCGAATAGGCTATAGTTATATAATAGGTGTAAGAGGTAATGGAGTAATATCGAGTACTCCACCACCTGATTAAGTGAACGATATGTAAATAAAAAATAATGCATTTAGATTGATTGAGAGTGTGAATGGATTTGGATCTAGGAACTCCATGCGTTGAGTACTGATTGACCTAGCTGTTAGCCCAATCTCGGTGGCTGACGTATAAGACTGAGGTCTGACTGGACGATTCTCGACTGCCATAAGTGAGGTTCAACCCTGCACATGTGTATGTATGTACACATGTGTGAATCAAAGCATATATAAAACCAAATCCAAAAATCATAATTGACGGTGTAATATTTTTCACTATCAGCGTATTATGCGTTAAACCGAAAGTGGTATCGTTAAAGAAACCTCACCGCAGTGCATAGTGTCCAAGAAATTATCGAGGAATACATCTCTCAAACCAGGGATTTTCGATTTCTGGACGATATCGCCAGACATCATAGAGGCAGAGTTGTTCATTAATGTTTAAAAAACCTGGGAATTTTCCATCTTTCATCTACATCTTCCCCCATTGTCTCCAGACCTCAATCCCATTGAGCACATGTGGGGTGCGTTGCAGAGAAAGCTTTTCTATCACCAATACTATAAAATTAGCCATATCCCTATTAATTTTTGAGTAGTTTCACGAAGTCCATCTTTTAAAAGTACAAGTTGCGAAACAGAACACCCCATCGATTGAAAATATGTTCGGGCACTAGCAGAAATCACGCAGCAATGACCGAACAATACAAGATTGACAAGAATTCAACGGATCAAATATAAGAGAATTGTATCAAAGAGATGAATCCTTTAATATTTCATATTTTCAATGCTTAAATCAATGTCTGAAAACTGCCAATAAGATATGAAAGTGAAATCTTAAACAATATAGAATATATGTAACAACTAAATTAACAAACAAAAGTATTTCCGTTCTAACAGACTCAATTGATTAATTAGCAATTTTCCCATGCATGTGATTTACTACTAAATTAATTCACGAATGTTTAATTTCTCTAGTTAAATTGATCGTGTATTCTACTTTTTTCTTAAATGTGGCGCAGGTGTCATATGTATTCTCTAATCAGCTTAGCACTCCAAACCCTTTTAGCAATAAATAATATACAGTAATAATGTAGTCCTGAACATAAATCTGGTAATAAAGAGAAGGCGAGCGAGGCGGCTATGCCGGGACGTCCCAACCTCCGGACTTAACCACCGCGAACCAGCCCTCTGTCGCTAAAAATGCAATAAAAACATGACTGAATGAAGGTGTCAGCGTCGCTGGGATCAATAGCACTGTCAATAGATGGCTCTCGGAGGATCTGAATCGTAGAAGGTTCATCCTCACCCGATTAAGGACCATTTCCGACCTAACTGAAGGATGCAACTCCTTGGCTAGATGTGAGAGGGTAGATGGTGGAATATATGTAGAGGGGATAATGAAGAAATATCGAGTACTCCACCACCTAATTAAGTGAATGGTATGTAAATAGGAAAGAATAAATTTTAAAATGAGGTAGGTTGGATGCTGAATTAACCTAGCTGTTGACCTCACTCTGAACCCAACCTCAGCAATACGATTTTGTGCTAGTACAACTGATTGCTGTTATACAACAAAGACATAAAAATTGAACATGTTAGCTAGCCAGTACACTATTTTGTATTACAATAGTAAACCGACTTGATTAAATGTGTGTGATCGTGGTCATATGCAAAGTTGATACTTGAGTAAGAGACGATTTTCATCAACTGCTATGGGAAGAAATAATTCAAATAAAATTTGTTTTACAAGCCCAATAAAAAAGAAAATAATATAAAAGAGGTCTCCGTAATCTTAATAGTATTAGGCTCGTGGCAAATGGAGCAGGGATATGTAATACATTTTTAATGGGAGTCTAGAATGATATATAAGACAATGGCATTCGGCATATTATCTGTAGGCAGAACCCTAGTCCATAAATATCTGTAATAGTATTTTTATTGCTTCCGAGTAGGCATTAGAATAATGTATATGACAATTACTACAAGTATATTAACGGGCCTTCAATAGTACATTTACGACAGAACTCCACAAAGAATGGACGAATGAATCTGCTAAAACTGTCCTGTATCGTGATTAAAAAGATTATATATTTGATTTTAAGAGAATATGCATAAGAAATATTCTGCTGTTTCTTCTTCTTCAAATTCTAATTGGCTAAATTTCTTGCAATATCGTTAACATTACTCATTTTGTTAGCAAACAAAATTTAAAGGGAACATGAAACCCAAACATTAGAAAAGCACAAGGAATTATTACATGTATTTGATCAAACAAAAAATTTCAAATGAGCTCAAAGATTTCTAAATTCTAGGCCACTCAAAAAAAAATCTTTTTACTAATATTAATATTTAAATAAACTTCAATCCTTTATGCACATTCTTGCACATATAAACAAAATAAAAAATTCCATCACCAAAAGTAGTGATAAATATCTTGAAAATTCCAAATATGAAATACTCAGATGTCACCTTAGACAAATTTGTCAAAACTTGTACCAATGCATAATATTATAAATATGTGTGGTTTTTAGTGACAATTAGTTAATGAATTTTTGGAGATCGTGAGATGCGGTATGGTGTGACGTAGGTTTTAGAAAAACTTCATGCCAACGTTTCGATCTTCTCTGAGATCATCTTCAGGGCCTGGGATTTATAAATAAGTATAACATAAAGAATATTTATAAATCCCAGGCCCTGATGATGTCCTCAATAAAGAATGAAACGTTGGCACGATAAAGGAAATATTTTCTAAAACCTATGTCACATCAGATCGCATCTCACGATCTCCAAATAATTATAAATATGTTGGAAATCTTATAATTACTCATACACTTTTGTCACTATCTAAATAAAAAATTGCGTATTTTTTTATACTATTATTAATGATAGGCCGTGCGAGGTTGACAAACGGACACATTATTTTGGACCAAAGCCCACGTATGTGTCCGGCATGTGGAGAAAGGTTGATCGATGTGTCCCACCTAATTGAAAGGTGTAACTCCTTTTCTCTTAGAAAGAGTACGTTGCCACCCAATATGAGAATCGTGCTTGAGTACGACAGAGATTATCTTGGTAATTTTTGGAAGAAACCGAGTTGTTTTATTGTGTATAGCTTTGCGTCCATCATGTGTTGAG